GGCCCCACTCTGTGGAACCTCGCGTACAATAGGGTGCTGGGTATTGCTCTCCCCCCGGCTGCAGCGTCGTCTGCGTAGCAGACGACACTCTGCTGTTGGCCGGGGGAAAGAGCTGGGGGGATGCGGTCTCTACCGCCAACGTCGGGGTAGCGTGCGTTGTCCGCGCAATCCGTCGCATGGGCCTGCAGGTAGCGCCTCACAAGACCGAGGCGCTATTCATGCATAGGGGAAGCATGGGGCTCCCCCCGCTGAGGCCCATGTCACGGTAGGTGACATCTCCGTTCGGATGGGAGACCGACTTAAATATCTCGGTCTCTACCTGGACGCGGCTTGGAGTTTTGGCGGGCACTTTGAGCGCCTGGCCCCCAGGGCGGAGTCGGTGGCAATTAGCCTGAGACGACTCTTGCCCAATCTTGGGAGCCCGGATGGCCGAGTGCGCCGCCTATATGCGAACACCGTCCGGGCGGTGGCCCTTTATGGGTCACCGGTGTGGGCGGACGCCCTGATGGCCGAAAGGCGCGGCAGGATGCTGCTGCGCCGAGTATTTCGGAGGGTGGCCATCAGGGTTGTCCGCGGTTACAGGACGGTGTCGCACACGGCGGCCACATTGTTGGTGGGGACGCCGCCCGTCGAGCTCTACGCCGACATGTACGCACATGTGTACAGGCGTACGCGGGAGCTCGGCGGGCTAGGTGTGGCGTTGACCCCAAGGGTCAACTCAAGGCCGCCGTGAGACTCCAAGCCAGGCGACGCGCCCTGGAGAGGTGGGACGAACACCTCTCCGATCCCCGAGATACCTCGGGGAGGCGCGTCGTCGAAGCCATCCGGCCCCATTTGGTCAAATGGGCTGATCGGGCCGGTGGCGAGATGTCTTACCGCGCGACGCAGGTATTTACGGGCCACGGATGCTTCGGCTCTTACCTGTGTCGCATCGGTAAAGAGGACATCGCGCGCTGCCACCATTGCGGCGGGGACGAGGACACGGCGCAGCACACGCTGGAAATTTGTCTAGCGTGGGCGGAAGA